TGCTACACCACAATGCCGGTCCTGTATAAAGTGTTCTTGTTACTTGTTCTTGTTACATGCTTTTGGAAGAAGCTAACATACTAATCAACACATGTATTTAGTTTGGGATGGGGGAAATGAGTTTCATGTAATTGTGATAAAAGCATGCATTTGGTGACAGCACCTTGGACAATTTATTTAATTGGCTTTAGCTTCTTCAATTATGAAGTGACACAAATGCTTATATGTTCCCCAAAGGATAATTGTGAAAATCAAATGGGGTAAGGCATTTGGTAAATGTCAGCCACCTCCACCACCGTCGTCATCATCATCATCATTATTCATGTTTCTCGCAGAACGAGTTCTCATGCTCGTTCCGGATACTCCACTGCAGATTTGTATGAAGCAGGATTTGCTGATGGTTTTAGCATGTATGCATTTATGTATGTATGTTTAAAAGTTTTGTGTATTTGAATAGCATAGTAAGAGAGACCAGGAGACAGAGATTGTCTACCCACTTGTTTACTCCACAAATGGCCACAACAGCTAGAGCTGAGCCAGGCCAAAGCCAAGAGCCAAGCAAGCCTATTCAGGTATCCCATGTGGGTGGCAGGGACCCAAGTACTTGGGCTGTCATCACTGCCTTCCTAGGTGCATTAGAAGGTAGCTGGATCAGAAGCTGAGTAGCCAGTACTTGAACTGGCACTTCAATATGGGATCCATTATCATAAGCCATGGCTTAACTTTAAGCATGCTTGCCACTGTTGATGGTTTTTAAATGGAGACCTGTCGCTCCCCGTCTTCATGGAGGAACGACACAGGACCCTGCGCTGTTCTTTCGTCTGCTCGGCCCTCCCCGGGTTTGCTGCTGGTTCTTCCCGGGTTGGCTACTATCCCTTCCACCTCCGTGGAAGGGCAGTTCCCCCTGGCCACATTCCCCACTTCCGCAGGGGAGCGGCACACCGCCAGCCGGCTCTCTGGGGGCTGCACAGGTGTTCCCCTTAGATGTTCCCGGTGCATGCTGTCTCTCTCCTCCTTTATAGTCCTCCTCCGCCAATCCCAACTCGGCTGCCCACACACCGAGCACGCTGCTCTCCAATCAGGAGCAACTCCTACAGTTTATTGGTTGAACTGGAGGCAGCTGTGTAAAAGCTGTTTTCTTCTCTCCCAGCGCCATATTGTGGGAGAGCAGATGCATAGAATAAGTCTTAATTCCAGTAACAGTCTAGTCCGAGCTGCTCCCCACAGAGACCTAAGTAGCCTAAGTAATTTGAAGCTTTTCTACAAACAAGGTAATATTGCCACACATGAAGCTATAACATGTGGGCCATAGCTTTGCAGCGGGCAAAGAAATTCTCACTTTATAGCCACAATCCTGTCATTTCTAATGGTGCAACCTGGGTTTGTGTGTGCAGGAGATCTCAAGGCAGTAGTCAGACAGCTATAAATTTCTTTTTTTTTTTTGAAAGATTTATTTATTTATTTGCAAGTCAGAGTTACACAGAGAGAGGAGAGGCAGAGAGAGAGAGAGAGAGAGAGAGAGAGAGAGAGAGAGAGAGAGAGAGATTCCACCCGCTGGTTCACTCCCCAATTGGCTGATCCGAAGCCAAGAGTCAGGAGCTTCCTCTGGGTCTCCCACATGGGTGCAGGGGCCCAAGGACTTGAGCCATTCTCTACTGCTTTCCCAGGCCATAGCAGAGAGCTGGATTGGAAGTGGAGCAGCTGTGTCGTGAACCAGCACCCCTATGAGATGCTGGCACTGCAGGCAGCAGCTTTACTTGCTACACCACAGCGCCGGCCCCCAGCTATAAATTTCAATGGCAAAGTGCAAGGTTTTATCTTCAATTGTTTATTCAGCCCACTTTTCATAAAGGTTTATTTTATTTTATCTGAAAGGTAGAGTTACAGAGGGAGACAGGGAAAGAGAAATCTTCCATCCACCGGTTCACTCCCCAGACGGCTGCAAAGCCAGGATCCAGGAGCTCTATCTTGGTTTCCACTTGGGTGCAGGTGTCCTTGGACTTGGGCCATCTTCCACTGCTTTCTCAGGTGCATTAAAAGGGAGCTGGATCAGAAGTGGAGCAGATGGAACAAGAACCAGTGCCCTTATGGGTTACTGGAGCAACGCCAGCACTTCAATCCACTTTTATTAAACTCCTGTTAGGTACCAGGCTGTGAGGAGACAATGAGAACAAGACAAGCATATATGCCTGCTCTCTTACATTTTATGGTCTAATGGGGGGATGCAGGCAAGCCTGTGGACAATTACAACAGAATAATCCGTGCGATGACAGAGGATGCCCAGGGAGCTGTGGAATGTGGACATCTAATCCCAACCTACCCCAGACACAGAGCCATCTTAGAGGAAGTGACAGCCACAGGGATACCAGAGGATGAACAGAAGTTCCGCAGGTGCACTAGAAGAAAGTGTGGAAGCGGGGAGGCCAAGGGAGAACAGTGTTCCAAGTCGGAAGCCAGGCTTGTGCAAAGGTCAAATGCAAGAGAGAACATAGCAAATTTGGGGAACTAAGAGAGGTTCCTTAAAGCTACAGCATAGCAAGCTGGTTGGCATCAAAGAGCCTGCAGAGGCAGATGCCAGGTCATGAAGACGCTTGCCGTGGGGAGCCACTGAGATGTTTAAAGGCCGACAGGGACATGCTCTTTAACACACGTGATCACCCACATTTAGAGGGATGTGGGAGTGTATCCAGCCGACTCCATTTTTTTGGATGGTGAAACAATGGGGTGAAATTACTTGCCTAAGACCATTCTTCTGTTAGTTGCAAAACTAGGACCAAAAGACAGCCCTCTGAATTTCCAACACAGTGGCCTCAGAAGACCATAATGCTTCTTCCTTTTTAAACAAACAGAACTCAGAGGCCCAGTGATTATTTTTGCCCAACATTTAACCAAATATGTAAGTAATGGTCTCTTTGTGTAAAGACAAAGAACAGGAAGAATTATGTCTTCCAGAAAACTGCAATATCCAAATCACATGTCCTTTAGAATAAAATTTGATTATTGGGATTCTTTTTATTTGTCATCACCAGCATTCAAGATCTGAAGATCACAGTGGAGGGGCCATTCCTGTGGAACCGTGGATTAAGCCACTGCTTGGCAATCCAGCGTCCTGTCCCATATCAGAGTGCTGGTTGGAGTCCTGGCTACCGCATGTCCAATCCAGCTCTCTGTTAAAGCAGCAGAAAGTGACCCAAGTACTTGGGTCATTGCCACCCATGTGGGAGGCCAGGATGGATTTTGGGTCCTGACTCCTGGCTATGGCCTGACCTAGACCTGGCTGTTGTGGCCATTTGGGGAGTGAACAAGCAGATGGAAGATTCCTCTAACTCTTCTCTGATGCTCTCCCTTTCAAGTAAACAAACAAATAATTCTTTAAAAAAAAACACACACAGTGGAAAATGAAAAATTACACATACAGAAAAAAAAAAACTGAGTTCCATCTTTGCAGCCATCCTCCAAAGACACTCCCACAGCTTTCTCATATGACACCAGGGACAGAATGGTACCTGTATGTGCATGTGTATACATAACATATGTAAGTGATCCTTTCAGAAATAGCAATTTCAATTAGACTGAGTGTTGTAACATGCCACTATGAAGGATGGGGACTTCTGAGCATTTGGGAAATGAGGGAAGATCAGTGAGAACAGAGACTTCAAAGTCCTTTCCTGAGAGATGAGTAACATGGCTCCTCCCTAAACAGCTCTTAGGAGGAATAGCAGAGGGGCTGGTGTTGTGGCGCAGCAGGTAAAGCTGCCGCCTGTAATGCCAGCATCCCATTTGGGTGCTGGTTCGTGTCCTGGCTGCTGCACTTCTGATCTAACTCCCTGCTAATGGCCTGGGAAAAGCAGCAGAAGATGGCCCAAGTGCTTGGGCCCCTGTATCCACAAGGGATAACTGGATGAAATTCCTGGCTCCTGGCTTCCAACTGGCCCAATCCTATCTGTTGGGGTCATATGGGGAGGGAACTAGAAGAAGAAAGATCTCTCTCTCTCTCCCCCCCCTCCCCTTCCCCCCTCCCCCTCCTTCTGTAGCTCTAACTTTCAAATAAAAAAACAATCTTAAAAACAGAACAGCAGAGTGATGAAATATACATGGTGGGCCCTAACAAGCATTTCAGAGAGGTTCCTTGTAACAGACTGTGTGCCTTCCGTTCCAGTTGCATGCACTCCACAAGGTCCCAAACTGGGCACCCGACTTGTCCTTGGAGGGGTGCGGGGCAGCTCTCTTTGCTGGGAGCAGAGTGGAGAGGCCTTGCTCAGGTGTCCGCTGGTTGGGATTTCTTGCAGCCTCCCTTCAGCCTGGTCTCAAGGCTCCACCGCGCGGCATCCTAAAGAGCACTGTCTCTTTGAAGAGCCCCAAGCAGCAGATACAGAAATCTTGATGATAGAGGTGTCGTCCTCCCAGTCCCCCCACTTGCTTGCTGGGAAGAGCTCCCTGTCACCCGTTCTGACCATGAGGCAACGCTTCCTGAGTGAAGTTGAGGCGAGCGCTTGCTAAAGTGACGGCAGCTCCACGGGACTGAGAAGCAAAGACGCCATACTCAAGCAAGGAGCGGTACTAGGCAGCCGGGTCCAGCCAGTCCCCAGCCCATAGCCTCTATCACATCACCGGGCTTCCGTCCTCACTGAACTGCTCGCGCTGGACCTGGACACGGGCCAGGGTGACTAATGCCCGGCGCTCCCGATAGACGATAAGCCCCACGAGGGCAGCCACCGTGTCTTTTACCAATGAGCACTTGAGAGACCCGCGAGGGCAGTCCCTGGCGCAGCAGGTGCGCGTTCCTGGCGTTGGGGGCAATGCGAAGTCCTCCCTCCCATTTCCAACACCAGAGCAGGGCGACCCGCGGCCCCGGGGCGGGAGCCTTGGGCTCTGAGCGGCCCTCTGAGCCTGCAGTACGGGCCAGGGCTGCGCCGGCCGCACAGTGGGCGCCTCAGGAGCCCCTCGCCGCAGCCATTTCCTGCTCTTTGTGTGACAGCGGCGGCGGCGGAGGGGCAGGGCCTCGCGGCGGGGGAGGAGCCGCGGCCGGCGAGGGGCGGGACCGAGGGCGGGCCGAGCGAGGCAGCCAGCGGAGCCGAGGCCGGCAGAGCATCCTGCGCCCCGGCGCGGGGCCCTGCGGTAGCCTCGGGCCCCTCCCCTGGACCTGCCACAGACCCAGGTAAGCGGCGCTCTCAGGCCTCGGAGCCGACGGGGAGCCGGGATGCTGCTGGGGACCGGGATGCAGCCGGGAGGATGCGCGAGCCGCCGGCGTCCCTTTCCCAGCCCGCGGGGGGCGCCCCACCTAGCGCGGCCTGGGAGCCCCCGCAGCTTCAGGCTCAGGGCCTGGGCGCCCCTTTTGCCTTCCGGCCCACTGTGGGCCTCATGGCGCGGACCCTCTGCCGAGAGGCGCTGGCACAACGCGGAGCTAGGGCGCGGTGGCGGCGGCGGCGGCAGCCGCAGCAGCAGCAGGTGCGCGGCCTGGGCCCGAGCCGCGGGCCCGGGGAAGAGGCGGCGCTAATCCCGGAGATCGGAGACACCTGCAGCGGCCGCGAGCCGGGCTGCAGCCACGTCTCCGCGCCCAGGTACTGCAGAGCCCCGGCCGCCGCCTCTACCGCCGCGGCCACCATCACCTCCCCCGGGCCAGCGAGAGCAGCCTGGGCCCGCCTGGCATTCGCCTGGGGCACACAGCGCCTTGCGGTGAACGTGAGATGGGTGGGGCGAGGGACGCAGCGGCGATGTTGGGGGTGGAGGGCGTTGGTGAGGGAGGAGGCGCATAGGACCTGCTTTGAAGCTTCGGGCCTGCTCTGGCATCACTCTCCCCCGGTGTCTGCGAGCTGGGAGGAGGTGGGGGAAGGGATGAGTGGGCTGGCTCGTGGGAAAAAGGTTGGGTTTTCTTACGCTCTGAGGAACCGGAAAGATGTGTCCCTGTCTGTTGTGCCAACTGGTTCTCAGGCCAGCCGTACTACCCCCGCAAAGATACAGCCACCTACATGTACAGGGAGATACAGTTCTCTATACAGAGACCCCCCAGCTGGCAAGGACACCGTGATTGCACGGGGTGCCCTGCCCAGCCCAGGGAATCTGATTTTGATCTATGCCGGCCTCCTTTCCACAGCACATGGAAACACTCAGGTGCTGATGAGCCATCAGCCATCATCCCAGCCAGGCCCAGAGCGGTACAGGGATCTTCCCCCGGTGTGGATAGGAAGGGCAGATTAGGAGAATGCTGCTTTCTATGCCAGCATCCTCATGAAGGCAGTGTGTCTCACATTTCTCCTGGATGTGGGCCCTATTAGAACTGGTGCCAGCAGCCCCAAGAGGTCAGAATCTAGGTCCATGTCCATGGTCAGGTTGAAGGCCATGGAGTTTTTCTCCACCATCAGACCCTTCTCTGACTCCTACATCCATGCAGCACTGCCCCACCCCATTCTCTAGTGTCAAACATGGTTTTCTGGAAGGGAGCCAGTGAGCGTTTATCTGGAAGAGCTGTGTACAAATGAATTTCCCATTTGATGCCAAGCAGGTGCTTTGGAAGTCATTTGACCAGAAACAGAAGATGGGATGCATTTTAATAGGACACAAACTTCAAGTCAAAATATTTGATGTCTCAAATGGTGCAGTTCTGAACTGTGAGCTGGACATAGGGCTGGGGAGCTGGGAGCTCTTTGGAGGAAGAGTTCCTTGAAATGACAGCATTTTGCAGCTGTCAGCTCTGTGTTCAGCAAGGATAGCTTTGGCCCCTGAGGGTAGGAATACTGTAGGAGTGAGAACACGTGTGTGCGTGTGTGTAAATGGTCAGGGGTCATGGTCCCCAGAGGTATTTGTTGAGCACCCAGTGCCCACCTGTGGGATGTGAAACTTTTGCATAGAGTGTTACTCATTGGCACCAGCTGCCATCTGCCAGGGCAGTTATTAGGCCAAAAGAAGAGTGTGTTACTGCTTACAAAGCCAGTGCCTCTAGCTACTTCTGTGCACTGAGCCTCTGACTGGGGGCATTAGCTCTCTGCTCACTAAGCTTCTTTATTATATTTCCTGACCAGTTGTGACCGGTTCTGTAGGCACCCAAGGCTGTCTTGTTCAGTCCCTGCTGGAAAATGGAAAAGGAAAAGCTTGCTTTAGGCACTAGGCCAAGAATGGGCTATACAATCCAGGAGGGTTTGGAGAGTTTTAGTTAAATCAGAGACAGGCCCCAAGCAAGATGGAGCCATGAGTGTGAAGTCTGGTGAAGGGCCCCAGGAGAGCACTGCACGTCCCCTCTGGTAAATCATGCACTCTTGGGTGCGGAGTGGGCCTCCGCTGCTGCCATTGACCGGAAAGCTGAATTAGGTGATGAATAGACAAGAAGCTCATTAACATGGGGAACAGCACTCCTGGAGAACAGTGCAGGGCTCCAGTCCCCACGTTGGAGGCTCAGCCTACACACTCCGAGAGGCTTGTTCTGGCCACTGTGGGCCCCGGGGTCCCACCAGGAGCTTCACAAAATGGCCTTTTGTAGCCTCCATGTGGCCACCCTAACAATGAGTCTGTTTCTTTCCTGGCAAGTATTAATTATTCACTCACTGGTAGTTGACGAAGCCAGACATCAGTCACCCCACTGGAGCTTTTGTGAAAGGCCTTTGGCCTTGTCCTTTTGAGCAGGGCCACGTCTAGGCCCCAAAGGACAGCCTGCATTGGCAGTGGAGGTGGCCAGAGGGGGTGGAGCGGGCCGTGCCGGGGAGGAGCCGCTCTGCCTCTGGATTCTCCTATTGAATGGGGGCCGTATGCACGAGGCAAACACTCATGGTCTATTTATATATTTCTTATATAATCATTAAGGGTTCAGTTCACAGGAACAGCTCTTACCAACCCCTCCGCTTCCAGAGCGTCCCTGAATGTTGCTGTTTCAAAGGGAGCTGGTCTCTGTCACCAATAAACCCAGCTTTAGGTTTACCTGCCAAGGGCAGTGAAAGGGAAGGTGACAAGACGTGGCGGCAGTGAGGGCTTCGGGTGGGAGGTGCCCTTGAGCGGCACACGGAGGTGGGGAGAACGTGAGTAAGCAGGCAGAGGGAGAGGAGCAGCTGAGCAGAAGCGCGGAGGGAGAGCTCACGTTTCAACACTCGGAGTTCAGGAAGCACGTCTTCCTCTGTATATTCAGCATTTTGCAACCAAACAAAAATGTGCAGGGCGTGCTTGGCTTCCCCAGGCACACAGAGCAACGCCGTGGACTTAGGACACTGGATTTATCCCTGGCTTGCTCTGTGCCTTTAAACCAGCCGCGACCTCTCTGCCTTTGCAAACTGAGCAGTGGAAACAGTGTGCACACCTTGTTACCTGCCTGCAGATGAGATAACGTCTGTAAATCCCAGTGTGAGAAGAAGAGGCTTCTATAATGAATGTGTGGCTCTCTTGGACGGGTGCCCTCCATTCCCAAAGGAACAGTTTATTCATTATATATTATGTGTCAGTTTAAGCTGAATCTGTGCCTTGTGTGCACCATTGAAGCAATAGGAAGCTGAAAGGCGTCTTGTGACCCAGAGATTATGCCAAGGCCCCTGTCTTGCCTTGTCTGTACGAAGACACTGCAGAATTCAGTCAGCGGGTGTGGGTGTCGTCCCAGGATGCAAAGAGGTTGGATATTGGCTTCCTAGCCATGGCTGTTAGGCTAAGGGATGTGTGTGATGTGACTTAGAGGCTGGCTATTTAAGTCACAGTACTTGGGTCCTGGTGACGGAGGAGAAAATGAATTGGGTGCACATTCTTAGAAGAGCTTGTTCTGTAAAGGCGAAGCTTGAGTTCAGGCAGCATGCCTTACAGCCGCATACTGGCTGACCGCATGCTGACAGACTTAAGGCACTTCACGAGCAGGGCCATGAGAGAGGGAAGACATTACAACCTTTTGGAAAGGGCCCAAGAAAGACCCTGTAGCGACTTCTAAAGTAGCCCTTTGGGGTTTGTGTTTGCATCATCCTTAGGTCATTGCAGAGCAATGGTCCTCGGATTCTAACCTCTGGGTGTTTGGTATGTCCATATCATAGGCTGTCTGTTGTCACTGCTGGCCGGTGAGGCCGTCCTCAGAAAGCAAAGGTGGTGGACGGGTTAGGACTCTGCCAGAGACTTCGGAGTTTGTAGCAGCTGCCTCTGTGGGTGGAATCAGAAATCAACTGGGAATGAATGAGACAATTGTCTGACCTCACAGAAGGCCCAGCTGAGATCAAAGAGAATCTGTAGGGTGGGCCCTCATGGAAGACAGTCAGTGACTCAGGGATACCTTAAGTGAAGGGATACCTGAGAACTGTTTTCAACTTGTGCTTTAAAATAAATGTTTTAGGACCAATTTTGGCAAGGTGTGAGGCAAGAGTTAAAAATAAGGGCTGAGCCCTCAACCTCTTAGGCTGTGATACCTCCATACGGAAAAGAGAGGAGACCTGCTTCTTATGGTTGAGGTGGGAACTGTGTGACAGAATATTGTATAGAAGGCCCCTCAGATTCTTATGATACTAAAGCTGATGTTGCTGTAGTGCTTTAGAGGACCTGTGATTTTTAAAAATTTTTTATTTTTTAACCAGAGACATGAATTTGGATCATTGGTTCATGCATTTACCAAACCATTCATGAAGTGTCAATTCAACAAGCAGTGCCTAGGAGGTGCCCAGCTCTGTGCTAGGTGCTGTGGGCCAGGCCCAGGAAAGATGACTAGCCCTGGTATGGTTTATGATCTAAAGAATCAGCAGATATACAGCAGTGTGTAGTGCAGTCGAGAATTTAGAAGTCTGGACTGCGAGTGGCACAGTGATCCAGAAAAGCAAAGGGAGTTGTGGACTTTGGACAAAGCATTTTGAAAGAGGCTTATCTTGACTTGGACCTCTGTAAGTGAGTAGGACTTGAGAAGGGGAGAGGGCAGCTCACAAGGGAGTAAAGACCCAAAGCAAGGCTGTCTTGGGACAGGTTAGGGCGCCCTGTACACCTTGGCACAGTGGTGCATGGTGCACAATGGGAAAACGTTGTCTCTGGCGAAGCCGTTTGTCTGGAATGACCCCACTCTGGTCCGAGGCATTTGCTTTGGAGCTGGAAGGACACTGAGAGAGGCTCAAGCCCAGTGACGCTTAACTGTTGGCTTTTTTATCCCTGCCACCCTTTTTTATTACACGTGATGGACAGTCGTGGCATGCCTAAGGCATCACATCCATAGCCAGCCTCCCC